TTCCAGTTGCCTTCAATCCCTTTTAACCCAACTCCACCCTTCTTGTTCCTTTGAACACCCTAAATAATCGCACTATCCTTCTTAACCCCACCCATCAGGGCACATCGTACGATGGGATCCCCAACGAAAGGAGTCGCGTTTGGTAGCTAGAAGGGGTGAAGCGGGGAAGGGGGTGGGGGTCGATTACTGGCGCTATTTCTCGGGTTTTCCTGCTTTACGCCCACTGCACCTCCCTCCCCGCAAGACGGCATTTTATTTTTTTGGAATATCACGGGAAAGCTGCAGGAAGAAACTTAGGAGGATGGTGGCTAGGGTAAAGGGGGTTGCACCAGAGTAGGAAATGGGAAAATTCATGGGGTGAGGGCTGTACTCATACTATTTTGTCTACTCTATTGAAACCAAATATAATTAGCTTTATTTGAGTGATATTTAACAAAACTAAATGAGACGCAACACAAAGATTCTGTAATAAACAACACTGAAACATCAACACGTATTTCGGAAATTTCACGAATAAATGACTCTTTTTTGTGACAAAATCGACAATGATTTCAGCACACGTACAAATGAAATCAATTCAATTTTAGAAAAATGGTAACAAATTAGGCGGCCTAAGAAAGTAGCACATCTCAATATCACGAATTCAACAAATAACGCAATAAACCAGTCAAAAAATGACACTATTATCATCTCACGAGTATTCATCAATTCATATCCCTATATCTGCTGTAGAACGTCGCACGGACTCGTTCTTGATGCGTAGCTTCGGCACCGTGCATCACTCGTGACCCCGCTGATCCAAGACCCGCTCCTTCAACTCGTCTCTGCGTCTCAATTGGAGCCACTATCCCTGAAATTATAACCGTACAGTTGAGAACCGAGGCACTCATCAACGGTAGGGTGTGAAGGGCCGTATTTCAGTCGTTCAACTGTTCGCTACACTTATTAATCTGCACTTCGAGACGGTCTTGCTAGAAGATGGTATTGACAAGAAAAGTAACACGTTTGGCACTTGAGAGCGCGCGGAAATGAAGGCTGGTGAGGCTGCGTCCACACTTTGCGCCAGCGTACACCATCGGCTAGGAAACCTATGGATATCGATCTAGCGAACGCCAGCGTCCACTAGCGTCCAGGAGTGGAGAGTATGGGGAAATAGGAGGGGAGCAGACAGCTGGCTTAAGCGCCGTGAAATTGCCGAGTGCAACCACACCGTACTACTGCTAAAGCACTGCTAAAGCACAGAATTATGCCATTCAATGTACGGTATTGTGTAGTAGTACGGTGCGGTGGCAGACGTCTCAATTCCACGACGCCTAAACCAGCCGCCTTTTCCCCTACGACTTCCCATACTCTCCACTCCAGGACGCTGGCAAACGCTCGTGGACGCTGGCGTTCGCTGGAGATCGATATGTATACTTTTGTGCCGGCACTAGCGCTCGCTCGAAACGCTACCGTACGCTGGTGGGCTCTGGTGGACGCTGCCGCAAAGTATGAACGCAGCTTAAGCGTGCTATCGTTGATTCGGGAGCTAAAATATTTTGGAACAGAAAACCTGCTGCCTAGAAACCGACAGAGACCCAAACCTATCCAAATTTTTGTGTAAACATTAAAAAAATCAAACTAAACTGCTAAATGCGATTTTTTTTGACCACTGACCTTGTCCATTTCGGCCGACACCTTGGCCTTCCCGCCAACCCATCGTCTTCAGTAGTCGGCTCCCAATGTTATCACTGCCCAACGGTCGCATAGACGCCATCTCAGATTGCTTCCTTAGCGCTTCTTCACTCCGCCCAGTATACTCCTCGCGATGGTCCTCCACTAAATTAGTCGCAAAATGAATGGGTTATATAGGTATAACTTCAAATAAACCTACGACTTACCTTCACGTGTAAGACCGAACTTACCTCCAGGATCGAGACCAAATTGCTGGCGCCGTTCCTTTGCTCGGTCTCTGTAAACGGGTTTCTGTTCTATTTCGGGAAGTGCAGCAGCTGCGAGAGCCTTCGCTTCTTCATCATCCCTTTCCATCATGGCTGCCACATACTGACGGCCCCACTCAACCCGTTTTTCCTCAAGATTCTTCTGAAAAGAAAGAAACTTTCATCTCCTTACATCAAACAGTTTGCGCTGCTGAGCCTTTACGGATAAAGCTGAAGTACGAATTCCCTCACCTTATGCAAATCGCTTTTCTCTATATGTTTCCTCAAAACATCAACACTAGGAAATGCTCGTTTGCAGAGAAGGCACATCTTCTTTGGCTCGTCTACCAACGCACGTTCCATCATTTCCCTATGCTCTTGCGCTGTTGGCAGATGACGGCGGGGTGGAACCGGAGCTTCTGGAGTTTCTGTACGTTCTTCTTCTAAAGTTTCTCAGAAAGCATTTACAATCTTCAGGATGTACAGACAAGATTTCCACAAAATTTCGCCTTCAAACTGAGGCCTACACTAACCAATAAGCTCACCTTCAGCAGCTTCAATTGGCTTCTTCTCATCTCCAGAGCCATCTTCTTCTTCGTCTGAGTCGCTCACGTTGGACAACTTAAGAGATTCCTAAATAATAAAATGTTTCAGAAAGACTTAGATTGAAATCGATCATTACTTTCCTCACCTTACTCTTCTCCAGCATTTTATGTACAATATTAGCTGCACCAGTTTGACCTCTCTCAAATGCACTTTTAGTCTCTAACGGCTTAACTAATGGCTTCAGGGACATCTGGACTTTACTCTGCTTTTCTTGCTTTTTTGCCCATTTCATCATTTCTTTGGCGATGTCTTTCGCGCTTTTCTGCAAAGGATGTTCATCAGGGAGTTTGATGTGAAACGTACGCTGCCGTCAGAATTGGTCATGTACCGGCGCATCATCTTGTTTTTCCTCTTTTTTCTCCTCCGCTGGCGGAGCAGCTTCAGCAGGTTGGGCGCTAGCAGGTTGAGCACTTGTGCTCGCAGTTGAGCTACTTTCAGCCTAAAAAGTATTTGTTACGAAGCATCAACTAATATCTCGCAGAAAAACACTACCGGAGGCTCTTCTATCGGGAAATAGGTGCTGTAGGTAGCATCCCATGTGCACCACTTCCGCGTTTCGTTGTTGTAATAGTAACCAGTCTTTTGATCATAGTAGAACTTCGTCTCAGGATCAACAAAATAACCAGCTGTTTGATCAAAACAAAACGTTGCCGGATTGGGCGTCACTGAAATGCGAGCAGACTATCAAAGGTTCAAGCAGTAATCGCACCACAACCAACCATATTTGGAGAACACTCCTCGAGGCGTCGGCGTCATACCAATAATCCCATTCACAGGTGCTTGTGATACAAATGGTGCCGCTGCCGCTGCGACTGCTGCTGCCTGCAATGACGATGCCTGAAGCATCACTACGGTTAAATGTAGTCATCGTTCGTACTTGTTGAGCCACTTGTTGTAAAGTGAGCTGCGCTTGCGGTCCCAACAGGGCTGCTTGTTGTTGTTGCTGCTGTTGCTGCAAGGCGATCAGATGTTGCGGTGGTACAGCGATATTAAGCTGCTGCAAAAAATCATTGTCAGGGAAACTCTATACCAATGCCTGGAAAATCGACCCTTTCCGGATTGTAAGTCGGCATGTTCGCATTCGAGGGCAGTTTGGTGACCGGAAGGGGGAGGGGCATCTTGCACTTTTAATACTTCCCATCAAAAGTGCAAAATGCCCCCCGAGACGAAGTTTTTCCAACGTGTCGAACCATCCAAGGCCATTTCATGGGCTTACAAGAGTTGACAGGTTTTACCATGGGAGCTTGATGAGCTCGCTCCAGCTTCACAACAGTTCTCAGGTTTCACCATAGCGACACTTGTAAAGCGGGACTAATGTATCAGCGGACGTGCAAAATGCCCCCCCCCGTCTCCAAAATGCACCCGAAACTCTAGCTTCATTGCTGGATGACAGCAAGGCCACAGTTCACAGTTGCGAACCTGCCCGCCTCTTTGATGGAAGGACCCGCATCTTGAGCAAATGCGCAATGCGTTTTCAAGGCTGTCACTGAAAACAACTTCCCTCAGCCTCCAAAAAACTTGAACTTACCATATTCCCATGTCCCTGAGACTGCCGTAATGCTGCCATGGCTGCTTGAGCTACTTCAGCACCATGAGCTACAAATAAATCTATTGTCTTACTCAAAAATGCAAAGTAAATGCAGCTTCAACAGAACGAAAGTTTATACCATTTGGATTCAATCCAATTGCTGAATTCGCTGGAGGAGGAGGTTGTCGACTTTGCAGCATACTAATTTGTTGCTTTATGAGATGTGTCATTGAATGGCGACAGAATGTCACCACAACTGAAACAATAGCCCTCATATACATGGGTTTTGCAGGAAACCGTGTGTTGTAAGCGTAGCAACATCCATACCATCTTTTCCTGCTATTTTAATTGGAGTTTTGTACGACGAATTCAACAACAGTGTCGCTTCATCACTACTCTTCATCTGTATATATGCGTATTGCTTTGAATCGGAGAGCTGAAGTTGTACAATCGATGTGAGGGCCGTGTACTGACTGAGACTTTCAAATAGCACCGCCGTGGTGCATCCGTCAGGCAATGATCTAATTAGAAGTGCTGAAAAAAGAAACGAGTGGGACATCTGTCCGTACGGTAGGTTCCGGATTTGAGCAAAAACCCACTATCACAAGGCGCAACTCCGACCATATGTAGGCCTTGTCTCTCAAGCTTCGCAGACGCTGCTCTATCAGTGTCGCACTTGAAACACATTTCACGTTTGTAGAAATTTTGAACCGAGCACTGAAATGACTTCCGTTTTTCAGAGAGTTACCCGTAGGGGCGCTTTGAAAAGCCTTGAATCTTGGCCATGGACTTCAGCAGAAGGCGCATTCTAACCACAAGTGCAGCTCTCGCTAAACTGCATCTGCTCTTTTTGGCCCAACTTCAGTATGTGTACGACTGCGCAGCGCTAAATTTCGAGCGAACAATATGGGCAAGCGCTGGAGGAGAGGGCATTGGAGGATGTCCAGGAGGCTGGCGCCAAAATAATTCTATATCAGCGTATAGGGGGAAAACCACTACGGCCAACCGATTCAAGCCTTTTCCCATCTTAGGGAAGGGGTTACATTAGCGCATGTCCAGTCGTGATCCGAACGTCGCCCAGCGGTGGCCGGATCACTTTTTGCGTACTCAACTTGCACACGACGGCCATCTTGCATTGTTAACCATCCCTAAACAAAACATTGATTCATTATGAGCGTGTCGGATCACTCTCGTGACCCGACACATACACAAAATATTCAATCTTATCAAATTAAAACTTAAGCTAAATTTATTTAAAGTAACAACTCTTGAAATTAGTCAACAAAATGTTGTTACTTCCGAGCCTAACTGTAAAAGTAGCTGTTTGGATTTCTTGGATGAGAAGCTGTATCCCAAGGAAGCGACAAATTCACCCACGTATAGCTCAAATGAAATTTAGAACTAACATTTCTTGTGACTTCTCAGTTAGTCAAGAAGGAAAGAACTCAATCTTTTCTCTTCACATCCAATGTTAAAGCCACATTCAGCGATGGATTTGGGCAGGAAGACGTAGTAAGCACGGATAAGAGGGAAACGGGAGCTAGTGGATGAGAGCTCTGCCACATGTCTGCGCTGAGTGGTGCTTCGAAACTCCCTTCTACCAATGATGCTGACGACGTCTATCTTTGGAAAATTCACCCCGGATAAACCCTCATTTTAAAAACGCAAGCGGAAATGTTGAGTTTCTTATTTTCAGTCTTAAGAGATTCTCACTGTCCGACATGAACAACTCGCTTCAAGGAGGGGAGGGGGGTGCCTCAAAGTACGCGACACTGTATGAAAGCTATTATTTTTTGACAAGTTGGCTCCAACTACTGAAGCACTGTCACGTTCAATCATTACTTCCTGGGCTGCGAATGCCTCTCATGTGACACTATTAGCGAATTCGGCGCCAACGCGAAGAGCTGAATACGTATCAGTTCCGCTGACTCCACCCAAGAGCGGGTGAGCGGGCGGAGCTATTGTTACGCGCGGGCTAAGCGCCGGTCTTCCGGACCGATAACTAAAGCGGCGTTCAAACCGCGAAATCAGGGTTTCGGTGGCGCGTACGACGCAATTGGTCGAACGCACGTCGGAAGGGCTTGACGGCGCTGCACTTTTAAAACTGGATGGACCGCTGCTACTTCGCAGATGTATCCATTTACGTCTCCTTTTTCTAATATATCTATCTAGTTTCCATTTCAGTCTCTCATCTTCTCATTATTTTTCTTACTCCCTCTTTATTATTTCGTCTGTTATCTTTTTTCTACTTTAAAACACATTCAGATTTTTCAGATGCGTGATAACTGCTGACTGTGAGCAGATTTTCGTGCTGATGTGTTTTAGTGCTAGTGTAGTTTTGCTTTCCTTTTTCTTCTTTCGAATCAAGTGTGTGCTTCAAAGCCTTCCTTTCCCCCCCCCGTTTTGTACCAGCTCTCCAGCACAGGACCTTCATTTTGAAGGTGAGAAGTTCTTCTTCCTTTTGTGCTATAATGTGATGATGTTAATGTTTGTATTTATTCCATATAAGCATAGCTTTTTCTGAGCGATTTCGTGTTCGTTTCTCCCCATTATTTTTTTCTGTCATAAAAGTGTTCCGAAGCTTCTTTTCGGTTGGTTTCTTCTGTCTTTTTTGAGCAGAGGTTCGATCTCGACAATTTCTGTTTGTTTCCCCTTTTTTTCAATTTTCTGAATCACATACGTCGTTGAAGAAGCGGCGTCCATTCAATTTAGGCAATTTGCAACTTTCAATTTCGACACGTATCGAAATTTTACCGCGGAGGCGTATCTTTTTCCGACTCGTCAGTGTCGCAACCATGACCAGTGCCTTCCCGATGGGGCGATGGGCCGAAATACAGCCGTCTCGAGCTCTTCTTGGGTAGGCCATAACTCATATCGGGATTCCCACTTGGCATATGGTTACCCCAGGATTCAGCTTCTCATCCAATTCATCTGTTTGGAGATTGAGCAATAAGAAAACCAATGCCTATTCCTAAACCAGCCGGGTAATGTGTTACCTGACGCCACTCAAACATCTGAAAAGGTGGGTCAGAAGACCAGAGTGCGAAAAGACATTATGCGATAACGATTCCAAAGAAATGAAACAGAAAACGTCATCGAAATCAATGACAACAGATGGCGATTGTATGGAGCGAGACCTTGTTCTCGTCCATCCACTTCACGGCCGTCTTCACATCGGCAAAGTCGATAAAGCCAAACGAACGCGAGCCACCTGCAGCGATTCAAGCATTCGCGCAGGATATATTAATCGATATTCACAGAAATCAAGACAAACGCAAACGAGTTATATGTACATACAGCGATGCATGAGGAACTGACAGCTTAACAATATAAATTTACTAGTTCTAAACGGAAATATGGAGTACAGGAAATGAGAAGTCGCCACTTCTCTCGAACTCAACGGTACAGCTGGTAAAGCACGATGCATAAGTGGCGTGGCCAATGAATTCGCTTGTCCAAGCGACCAAAATTCCCCGGGACGAAGAAAATCCCAGTAAAAAGCGAACAAAGACTACCCAAACGGCTACAGTTGAGTTATCGCACACAGATCATTCATGTCACCAATAAGAATGTCTTCTTGAAGATTATTGGTTCTTATGCATCGCACTTTATCACAGCCAAACACCTTTTCTTAGCACTAAAACCTGTGCTGCATATTATCCTGCTATTCCATTCAGTCACCTGTGTAATTCGATAATGATACCCTATTCTCTGAAGTAAAATAGCGCACTTAATTGCTTGAATGCGACAGCGCACGCGAAAAGTCTCAAAACATAGCAACGAGTTTCTTTCAGTTTTTTTTTCATATTCTAATCTTCTTTTCTTTTTTCCTCTTCGTTCCACATTCTTGTCCCGGTAAATCCTATCCGCAGCCTCAACGTGGCGGTTTCAACCTGCTTTTGCGGAAGTTACCGACTTACAATCTAGCAAGTTACGCGTGTTCAGTTTATATGCCGAGAACAGAACAACTACGGGCCTCCTTCCCTTCAACCGAAGGGGAGAACCGACAGGGCGGCGTTGACTGGACCGCTCAGAAGACGCTCCGAGAATCTCAGGGCCAGCGGAGAATTAACGTGTCCAGGAGTAGGATGACCGAATCCGAATCAGACAATTGTGATTGAGAAGAAGTGGTTCAACTCCGGCTTTGACCATCGCATACGCAGCAAGCCATCGTCGACGATCTCACCTTTCACGATTTCACCGGGTCTTTCAGGTCGTGAAGTGCTATTTGGAAAGGTTTGCTTGCTTGTTGTGAGGGGCATACAAGGATTTCAGAGTCTATCTCAGTCTATAGTCTATAGATCTAAGAGAATAGAAGTAGAATAGAGTGAAATGAGCAGGGTGAAAGTTTATAGAGGAGTTGATCATACCGATGTCGACCCATACCCTCCATGGTAACGCACAATTCCAGAAACCCTACTATCCACACATTCTGACATCCTGACCGACGTCACGGCTGTTCCTAGGTTTTGCACGGAATCAAACCACAACCCACTTCGCCCAAGGTTCCGCTTTTCGATGTGAGGAGAGGGAGCCGCGAAGTTCAAGAGCGAAGTCCCAAGACTGTCACCTATTGAGACCACTTCACCGCTCTCGCTATGCTACGGGAAGACTGTTATTGACAGCATCAATGAGGATTAGAAACGGCTTGCTGAACATCTTCACGACTGTGCAAAGAAGTCGGACAGCTACGAGATTACCGAAAAGCGTATATCTCTAGAAATTCTCGAGCTGATTCGCCTATGTGAAGCCTCACCGGCCACATGCAACTAATAGGTGACGCCCAGCTATGCAGATAAAAGAAGACCTCAAGAAGAGCAGCAGTATTAAGGCAGCAGAATCTGGAAAGAGCATACGCAATGTATGCCGCGACTTCGACAATGTGAGGCCCAAGATGATCGGTCTTTGACGTCCGGAAGGAACAATCACTGCATCTCGAAGGGTAATGGAGGTCATCCGCGACTTCCGCTATGATCCCATTGACAGCCATGCTCTCCTGCCATTACCATATGGAGCAGGATGGCTAAGTCGTACCTCCAGTTCTCCCTCATAAAGCCCGACAAGCCATCTCGTCGGTGAAGAATCGTACGGCACCCGGTCCCGACAGGATCAGACCCGAACATCTGAAGTCTTCCGCCAGTTCTCGTCAAAACTCTGGCTCGACTCTTCACGCGCTACTTGTCAGAAAGCAGGTACCCACCTCGTGAAAACCAGGACTGTGTTGCTGTGCAAGTCGGAGACCTGCACGACATTGGTTAATTATCGCCCAATGTGCCTGCTGT